AGAGGTTTTTGAGGTCGCTGATCACGAATTTGATGTCAAAAAAATTTTTTGACAACAAAGATATTTGTCGCGAATTATTCGTCCAGCACAGATTCTCACAAATCTTTTCTCTGTTCAAAGCGTTGAACATGTTATTGAAGAAGATAGTGAGGAGGATTAAAACTGTAAAATTGTTAACTTAGCTCTGTAAAAAAGTATTATGCTATTTTATATTACTGTGTGACTATTACGTAAGCTTGAATAAAATATGATTTATACCAGAAAATTTAGTTTCATTGATTATATTAGTTGAACACGATATTAAAATTGTTTAAATGCTGTGATTCAATGATATTTTTTACATTATTAAACCTGTGTTAATAAATATTTATGGGTGAATTTGTTGTCAAAAAATTTTTTTGACATCAAATTCGTGATCAGCGACCTCAAAAACCCCTATAGAGATGTATTTTTTATAGCAAAGACGCATTATCCCAGGTAGCACACTGACGTCTGCTGACGTTTAAATGACGTTGAAATGACGTCATTTAAACGTCAGCAGACGTCAGTATGTTACCTGGGATACCAAGTACGCGCTGTAATTTACCGAAAGTTGAAAATTCGAATTTTTTCAAAAAATCGCCCCGCTCACCAGAATTGACCAAATTGAGTCCAGTTGCCTGCATTCAAAAGAGGACGATTGCCGCTATCTATGCTATACAGCACCCCTCGGGAAAATGAAAACAACCCTAAAAATTAGAGGGTTGAATCTTGAAAATGATGCGTTTTTCACGATTTTTTCGCATTTAAACCTAAAATTCACATGTTTTTACTTGACCAAAAATTCTGAAAAAATTCAGGGGACTACCATATATCCAAAACAAATTTTTAATTGCGTTAAAACCTTTTAAAAATAAATTAAACTGGTTGAAAAAAATAAAAATAAAAAAAATCATATTTTTCGCAATTACTATGTTTTCGTTTGGGGTTGTAATGTCGGTAAAAAGCTTATACTGCTTGTTGTGCGATTTTACCAGATTCAGTGGGGGCCGCAAGACCCCCCTTAACCCGCTACCCCCTTTTTACTATTACTACTAAAGTATCGATAAAAAATAAGTTGTTTTTTTTATCGTCTCCACCCCCCCAAAAAAGTGTGCCTCGGTACGGCCCTGTGCACAATGTGCAGGGTTCGGGAGAGATGAGGCAATACGACTCTTAAACTCATACTCAAGAGTGACAACATTAAAAAAAAGTTATAATGTTAAGATTTAAAAATAAAGTAACTATCGATTGGTGATTAACATTAGTTAACGTACTTTAAATAAAGTAAAAATGCGCAATTTATAACTGTAGTTAAGTGTATTTGTTATGTTCATAAGGGTTTTTTAAACGTCACGTGACAAAGTAAATCAAACTAAATTGCTTATTTTTTCCATTTTTATTAATATCGAGCACAAAGAAGAATGACAAAAAATAGAGGGAGGGGGATTCAATAATTCGTCACACGACACTTCATGGAGGGATCTTTACATTGTCACATTTTGTCACAAGGAACGGGGAAAAATTGATATACAAGGTGTCCCTAAACTTATTGGCATAAATTTAGGAAAAGATTGAGCAAGTCAAAATAAGACGAAAACCTAAATAAATATTTTTCCTAATTATTTATGTTTCCAAGATACAGGGTGATAAAGTGTTACCTATCATATCAGTTTTTTTAATATAACTTCTACTATGGTAGTCTGGCAAACGTGATATTTAGCGAACAGTCACTTACTACCAAAACACATATTTACACATAATTACAATTGTTTGAGTGAACACAGTGTCTTAGAAACGGGGGTTGCTTTAAGCTTATTGTCCCATACAAACTTTGAGGTAGGTTTTTATAACATTTGATACAATTTTTTGATTACACAGTTCAGCTACCATTAAAAAGGTGTACCTCTCAAACTTGGATAAAATAAACCGTTTCCGAGATATTCGAGATTACAACAATTGTTATATCGCATTATTTAAAAGGATTAAAAGGTAGGTATATAATAACAAATTTTATTTTTTATTTGAAAAAACTAAAACGGCATTCCATAAGCCTCAAGACTTTTTGCCCTAACCGTCACATTAAAAAAAATTATAGTTATGCGATATAATAATTATTGCAATCTCGAATAGCTCGGAAACGGTTTATTTAATCGAAATTGAAAGGTACACCTTTTAATAGTAGAAGAACTGAGTAATCGAAAAATTGCATTAAATGGTATAAAAACCTAACCTCAAAGTTTGTATGGGACAATAAACTTAAGCAACCCCTGTTTCTACGACACTGCGTTCACTCGAACAATTGTAATTATGTGTGAATATGTGTTTTGGTAGTAAGTGACTGTTCGCAAAATATCACCTTTCCAAGTCTACCATAGTGGAAGTTATATTAAAAAACTAATAGGATAAGTAACACTTTATCACTTGCTTAATCTGCTCCTAAATTTATGCCACTAAGTTTAGGGACACCTTGTATAACCCATTATAAATTTAAATTTTATACAGCATATTTTCAGGTTAATAAATTTTTGTTTTAAGCGTACAATAGTTTTTATATTATAAGAATCATAACTCTATATAGAAAGACTTTATATTAATATAGTATACCTACTAGTTTAAAAGTCAAATTATTATTAAACTCCGTACAGAAATTAAGCTAAAATGTCATTATATCAGTTGAACCTACTATAGTGACTAACCTTAAAATAATGTGACAGAATTATGAGAAATTATTTAATTAAATTCTTGAAAAAAATAGTACATAAAACTCGGTGGCGAAACTTTATTAATTGCATCGCAAACAATCTACTGCCTCGGCATTGAAAGCAGGGCCGGGCCTAAGGGGGGTGTAGGGGGGGAGTCACCCCCCCCCAAAGTCTTGGCAGTTGGTTCCAAATCCAAACACGGTTGGTAAAATCTATAGTATTTGGGTCGGTTGGTTGGGTATACCTACCCTACCAACCAACCCATCACAATAAATAAAATGAAATATAATTTTTAAACTTTACCTACATATTACAAAATTATAATTTTTAATCTATTGTAACCTCCTATAATCGTTACCGTCAAGAAAATTGTATTGGTCAACCTTATTTTTATTAAAGGACATTATATTTCACACAAGCGGCATGTACAAAGTCGGCACCGCCTCGCGGCTTTGTCTTTCTAAATTATTAATTAGTTGAAGCTTATCTAAGCTAAGTAAAACTAGTGTCAATAAATAGGAATTAATTTTTTTTTTAATATGAAAAAGAAAGCTAGACCGGGCCGAGTTCTAGTAAAATGCTCATTATGTGGATCTGGACTAGAAAAAAATGCACGAGGAAAATATTCAAGGTGGAAATTTGGTTAAAATTAAAATTGTTACTGTTCCGGATAATCCACTTACATTGGTAGCAAATAAAAAAAATAGAGACTTCAAAAGAGCATGTTAATGGTAGGTAAAGACATTCTTTATCTACACTTTACAACACTTTACATTCATGATAAAACTACTGAAAATTTTTACTATTACTACTAAAGTATCGATAAAAAAATAAGTTGGTTTTTTTTAATCGTCTCCACCCCCCCAAAAAAGTGTGCCTCGGTACGCCCCTGATTGAAAGGGATGCTTATAAGCATATTATGCTTATAAGCATATTATAATATAATTATCGCTATAGCGATAATATGCTTTCTCCGCCTGATCTATATTTTACTATTATTTGTTTTTAATAAATCTATTTAGAATTGACAATAAACGTTTAATCTATTTTTATATGTGCAGTTTTAGTAATGTTTTTAATTCGGGCTTAAGGTGTAAAACATTAACAATAAAATTCAAATGAGAAATAGGTTTAAACCGTTGGCCCGCAAGTAATCAGATTTATCGTCAACATTCCCCTAAAAAACGGCGGCTCATTGGACAAGGGTAAGGCGAGAGCAGGTACGAAGCTTCAATTTCCACACGTGACGTCATTTCCGACCTCCCGGAGTTTAATTTGTAGCGACAAGAGTTGCAATTGGTCCGTAATATTCTTTCCAGTTTAAAACAAATGGATTTGAAAGTGATTCCATTTTCCGCGTCATTAGTCGCACTTCGCCGCTACCAAATCTCAAAATAAAACTTAAGGAATTTTCAAATCAACCGTTTCTTACACTTTTTGCTTCCGCAATACCGAACGTGCCAGATTCGACTCCAAAAAAATATTATTTTAAATTTTACCTTTCGTAGGTCGGCTAATGTACTATTAAATTGTTTTATTTACATTTTTATAAAGGAGTTCAAAACAAAACGATACATCTGAAAACAAGTAATTTTAACTTAACTTCTATTTATCAAAATTTGTCTGGTTTATTAGATAGATTTTTGGACGCCGACTGTAAGTAATAAAAGTATATTACACTACAAAGGAGGTAAGTAGATTTTACCAGTTTGCGCCTGAGCGTGCAAGGGGCTGGCAAAAGAGTCCGAGACTGGTGAAAAGTTACCTCCTGCGTGGTGTATAACGTTTTATCTGTATAACGTTTCATGTAATAATAGTATATTAAATAACTAATGTCATAAGTCGTCATTTTGTGGCACGCGGAAATTTATGTAATGTACTGGACGAATTTTACTTTAGATAGTTGGTATCACAGTCACTGGTTTGACTGTTAAAGTCAAAATCGATTCGCCATGCCGTCCTTAATTTACTTATTCACAATAAGGGGCTGTTAATGTTAAAGAAGAAAAAAAAAATATTTTCTTTGGTGTTAAACAAAATTTATTACCAGAAAAGTCTCGTAAGTACTAGAAAAATCATAAAATTATTATAACCAATATGCAAAATATTATTTCACTAGTATGCTGTTTAAAGTATAGCCAACCTATAAAATAAACAATTTGGGTGGGGTAAAGTATCTCATTACAGCACCGAAAGTCATTATGAACGCAAAATAGATAAAAATATTTTTATCTGCTCCGACTATGGTAACTAGGCTATTGTTACATTGTTTTATAGCAGGTATGTTGAATTTACCGCGAAAGGTTGGTTGCTATTGAAGGCGGAAGGTAAGTGCCCACAAGGAATTGGGGGTGGCATGATGAGCTTGATATCTTTTAAAGCAACAATAGCTTCATCTGGAATATTAGGAAATACAAATTTGCTGGTGCCCTTCGTTTGTTTTCTAAGATACGAAATTTCATACTCTTCTGACTCATTTATTTTCAGGACTTTTCCAACATATCACTTCGATTTTATCAATTTTTCTTTTCTTCGTAATGCTTCGTTCTTCTATGGCATCTTCGGGTGTGTCAGTAGCTATAATACTTTTGCCCTTTCTTCGCGTATTTTTAATTTTGCGTTCTCCTGCTTTTGGAAAGCCCTTAAATTCGTCTGGGCTTTTAAAAACATCTGTGACAGTCTTGCCATTTTTATCGTTCTGTTGATTGCTATTTTCAATACTGGTGTCTAAGGTCTCATTTTCTATATCCGATATATTTTCTTGAATATTATCACTCACGGATATTTTCTTTGTTGATTTAAATCGCGATCGGTAACAGCGCTTGGTAGAAAGTCTATATCTGTGAAGACATTTGCATCGTATGGATATGTACCACACTTTTTAAATGAATTTATAATATTGCTCGGTGTGAGAGCTTTTTCATAAGCAAAGCTCATAATTTCAATTTTAAGAGGTCCTCCATCGAATCTGAAGTTTTGCCGCTTAAATAACACAGAAAACTGACTTTTTTACCTTATTTATTCTTGCAACCTAGGAAGAAATTTTTTTTTCATAAAATCCATGACAAAATCTTACAAAGCATTAAATTTGGACGAAAAAATCTTATTAAGCCAAATTTCTATTTTCATTATTTGATTTTTTACAGAGCTTTAAATTTAAAATTTTACGTTTTTTGCCTTTTTCAGCTAAACTATTAAAGTTAGACGAAAAAGTCAAATGGCAATTTTTTAGCTTGTCTGATGGACCACAAAAAAGTTAAAGGCGAATTTTTTGTATCGTCAATATTCTAAAAGTTACAGACGTATAAAGTCATCATTTTTGTATTATTAACTTTAAATTTAAAGCTCTGTAAAAAATCAAATAATGAAAATAGAAATTCGGCTTAATAAGATTTTTTTGTCCAAATTTAATGCTTTTTAAGAATTAGTCATGGATTTTATGAAAAAAATAATTCTTCCTAGGTTGCAAGAATAAATAAGGTAAAAAAGTCAGTTTTCTGTGTTATTTAAGCGGCAAAACTTCAGATTCGATGGAGGACCTCTTAAAATTGAAATTATGAGCTCCGATTTTAACAGAATATTTGTTCGGACATATTCTACGATATATTGGGTGGAGAGCAAGCAAAAAAAAAATATCGAGTTTTTTGGCACACCCTAATGCACATACAAAGCATTTCAAGTATATTAAATAAAATACAAAAAAAAACCTCAATTTACATTTTGTGACAGTGGTCGTAACGTAGTATAATCGTGAAAATATTAGCATGGGCCATAAAAAGCTTATCTGAGATTTGATCATTTTCGCGCGATAATCATTAGAGGGGAATGCAATGGATTAAATTGTTAAAATCTTTGGAGATGGCATCTTGCCCGAAAAAACGCGCGAATTCTCAGTTAGTAATCTAAAATGGCTTATAAACCCTCTTTAACAAACTTGAATTAAAAAAGTTTCTATGTAATCTGCGTACAATCTGATTAGATTGTTTTATAGGAGGCAGAGAACCGGACAAGGCTCGCCCTCGTTTTTCGTGTCCCGCTCCATACCCAAAGTATTTAGAGTACTTAATGCGATTAGCTGACAACTTTTCAACTTAATGTAGCTACTTTAAATACGTTTTGGGTGTAAGCGAAATGCCTCCACTTGCCCTTGCGTTGTCGGCTTTAAGCTCAATCCTTGATCCACATTTTGCGCCTTCACTATACAGTGTGTTTTATTTTGATTGGCGACAATTGAATATTTATTTAAAAATATTGCGATTAAAAAAAATGTCTTAGTTTGTAGTACCATCGTCCATGGCTTTCTAGGATTAATAGAAGATCTCCAAATACTTCAAAATTTATTATAGGCACCCGATAGAGTTTCTGAATTTGGCATACCTAAAAACCCATAAACGATAATTTTGTAATAAAATTGTATACAGGATGGTCAAATTTCTAGTTCGTGAAATTCCTAAATAAATGACAAAATCCTTTTGCAAAATCTTTGCTAGAGATGCTAGAATGCTTAAAAATTGATTTCTTTTCCAAATTTTACCTTAACCCAGTAGCACAAAGATATTGGCCCAATATTCGTAATAATATTGGGCCAATATATCTTTCGTCAGATTTTTTCTAGCATGGTCCAATATTGAAACCCAACATTGCCCGAAGTTGGGCGGGGCTTGAATACGTCACATGATGAGTATTTTTAAATCTTTAATTATCTGCTGCTAAAATTCTTGTTAAATTGCTTTATTTTTTGTTTAAGCGTTCGGTAAGGTCGAATTAATTTTCAGTGTTATTGAGTTGTGTTAACCTGTTCTGTTTGTTTATTATTGTTGCATTAACTTGTTTTGTTTGTGTTTTTGTTTGTGTCGTGTTATTTGCATTCATTAAAATGCGGTGTGGCATATTTGGATGCAATTCGGGCTACCACTTTAAATAAAAACATTAAATTTCATCGATTCCCGAAAAACTTTGATTTGTGCAAACAGTGGTTAAATGCCACAAAAAGAATAGACAATATTAACGTTAAGACCGCTTTTGTTTCTACTAAACATTTTCTGGACAGTGACTATAAGTTTAATTTAAAACTCCAACTCTTAAACTACTGACTGACTGACTGAAAGCATCTATTAGCCATATTATAACACTTTCTTCAATATTAAGTTTAATAAAAACGCACTATGTGCAGATATTTCTCTATTTTCTTTGATAATATTACTATTATTCGTATATTCGCACGGCAACTACTCATCAAGTGACGTCATGCGCGGCACGAACCAAAACTCGTTCACGGGAGCATAGTATCGGTTATATAACAGGCCTGTATGCTCAGCATACAGGCCTGTTATATAACCGATATTGGAAGCCACCTAGTACTTACTACGTAGTAGGATTTCTAAAAGTGGTATGTCGCGATCGTGTCGACAAACGTTTGTTTTCAGGTATTGTTTATAGTAGGTAGGTACTTAGGGGCGTAGAAGCGGTAAGGCGGGTGACAATGCCCACCCAAATGATAAGGCGAAGAGGGGGTTTACTTGATATAAAATGTACCCTCTAAATTCTTAAAAAATCTACCAATAAGACAAGTCGTGTACCGTCTATGTTATTCTTAATTACGATGAAATGTTAAAATAGTTTGTATCGTGTGCTAAAATGATCAGCTTGAGCTTTATTAACGTAATAACGAATTTTTTTGCTAATAAGACAAGAAATCGCATATCACCCTTGTTATTCTTACGGTAATATGCAAGAATGGCCTTTATTATTTTCACCAATTTGGTGCTAAACAATAAGGATGGTATACCATCTATAGTCGGTTGCCCCACCCCCTAACTTAAAACCGTTCCTGCGCCACTAGTGTGTCGTTAAATATCACATTTAGAAATCCGAAAGCATCGTTGACTATATTTGTGATATATTGGCGTAAAATAATGTGCCAATATAGGGCTAACGTCGGCTAAATAAATCAAATATTGGCCCCAGATAAAATATTGGGCATAGACGCGCCCCATATAGGACCAATATTTTGTGCTACTGGGGTACTTTGTGATCATCCAAAATTATCGTTTTAGGGGATTTTAAGTATGCCAAATTAAGAAACTGTCTGTTTTTAAATTTTAAAAAATGCCCAATATTTTTTGACATTTTGGAATATCTTCAATTTCTTCAAAAGGTTGAGTTTTACTGTTATCTTAAATTTTTGCTAAAATCTAAATATCTACTTAAATAAATTTCAAGATAAAAAATAAATTAATTCATGGTTCCAATTTTTTTAAGGAGATTAATTAAATTAAATTTAAATTAAACACTAAAAAATTAAAATAAGATTCCTTACATGAAAATAACAAAACACTTTATAAACTATTTATTATTAGGTTATAACCTAATTTTTGAAACACTTCGTTTTCTAAAGTGTTACAAGTTTTATAATGTAGCGTCGTAGCTAGGGGCACACATGCATGCTGACTGGGCCCATGGGCGCTGCGTCATAGCTAGGGGCACACATGATGCTGACTCACACAAAAAGTTGCTTGTGGAGTAAAAAATTTTCAAAAATTTAAAATTTTACCAATTTTTATAAATTTTCAAAATCTCCCGAATTTTTAATTCTTCCAAAATATTTAAGGGTTTTAAAATTTTAAAATTTAGAAAATTAATTCATAATTTTTTAATACATCAAAAAACTAACTGATTTCATATTATATACCTACCATAAATCATTTTCATTTATTACCTTTTTTATTCTAAAAATTACTATTAATTTTCAACTTAATATCATCTTAATTAAGGTTGTGAAATTCATTTGGCATCGGTTGTTTGTTGAAGAAGGAAAGGCGAGTTTTCTCCTGGGAAATCGTCCCGAGATATACAGAAAACATTCTCCAGTAAAATGGGGTCCCATTAGCCCCGCGCGACCCCCTCCATCACCCAATCATATTGAATTTGCGGACGGGCGCAGCGCTCTCGATTTTCGCACACCAATCATAACAAATTTACACTTTGATGTGCTTATAGATGTCCGAATTTGCGATTTCTGTGCGCGGTCAAACGAAGAAAACAATCTGGGACAATCTAAGAAACAATTGGAATGATTGAAATTTACTTGGACCGTGTTGAATTGACTTACCTAAGTTTGTTTCACCAGAGGCGCGTCATAATGAAAATGGTATTTGGAATTCTTGTGATTGAATGCCAATTGGTTTTAGTTTAATGTATACTACATTATTTAGTTTAATGTATAATACACCATTTAGGTAGGTAAGCATTATTATGTACTCAAAAACAAAATTTGCACAAAAATACAATGTCTTTATAGCTAAAAATAATTACATAAAAATTTACTTATTAGTCCTAAATTAATAAATATTGCTAAAGACGTTAAAATTAAAGATTATAAAAACGATATGCACACAAAATTTAAATTTATCAGACAAATTCTAAATAAAAAAATTTAATGAATGAAGAAAATCCAACTTTGATAATTTTAGACTTCCATGATGTTTTTTGATATGTTTTGATTGTATATAAGTATTTGTTAGTAATCCACATACCATAAATGGGTGATTATACAAAAACTATCA